GAAGTAGTGTAGTTTTGTAGTTTTGTAGTTTTTGTAGTTTCGAATATAAAAAATTATATTAAATCTAATAAAATACTTATAGAATTATAAGTTTTACGAATAACTAGCATAAATCTAAAATTATAAGCTTATAATAAAAAAAGTGGGTCCTTATATACTATTATAAGCCTAAAACTTCAAAAACTACATTTTGTAGTTTTTGTAGTGTAGTATAGTGTAGTAAGTTTTTAGAAAACTATATAATCTAGTTTTTAAGCTTACAAAAAGCTAAAGAGACCCACTCTTTTAAATAAGCTAATTGGCTATAATATTAGCTATTTTATGTATTTATTATTATAATTCAAGTATTTTATTAGACTTAAGGTTTAATTAGTTTAATTCTCCTTAATTAATATATTTAAACATTAACCTCTTTAATCGCCTCTTAGGTTACTTAACTAGTTACGTGCCTTTACCTTCTTCTTATGCCCACGGGTCGTGCCTGTCCTAGCCAGTGCGGTCCCGTCCCGTGTCTTGTGCAGTGTTATTCGTAACATATAGCTTTAATAAATAATCTCTTAAAAGCCTAGGTAATACCTATAATAATAATAAAATAATTAATAGCTTATAAATATATATATATTTATTAAAAACATTAAAAATCGGGTTTTTAAGCGATTTAAGCTTTATTATTACTCGCTTAAGCTTATATTATTAAAAAAATAATAGATTTAACTTAAATACTAATTAAATTTTTAAAAAGCAAGCGCAACTATATAGGTATATATGAAAATGTATAGTGGGGTGTAGGCAGTTAACTACTAGGCTAAATCGAGCGGTAGTAGCACGAATAGCTAGGGTTAGTTGCACGAATAGCACGACCCATCCCATGGGTGTATATCCTATTCCGTATAGTGAAATCGTGGACTGCCCATGTATTAGGTAACGTGTGTCGCTGCAGAGGCCCGCAGCTTCCCTTTGGCTTCTTCTCTCTTCATCTCTTCCATCACCTCTTTAGCTCAGAGCAGCCGTTACTAGCTAGGGAGTCATCAGAGAGTTAGTTCATTCATCATCATTCGTTTCTCATCGTGTGTCTATGTCCCACGACACCATGTCTACTGTACGTGCGCCTCGCTCGTACAGAAACTTAGTTGTTTAGAGATATATACCTAAATTCTCTTTTCTTTTTCTTGAATATCTCGCCTGAATGTAATTCCAATGGATATATTTAGGCATGTGAGTTGATTGATTGCGAGCATAGACCTAAAGCGAGTACCCGCACCCCTGAAGGTCGTTTGCCAAAAAGAAGTTCACTCTTGTTTGAAGTTCACTGTGCGCGTTTGCATGCTCGCTCCTGTTTGTAGTCTATCACCTTTTTGGTGATCTGTATCTGGATGACCCGAGTCCAAATCTGTTTCTGGTTCAAAAGCCAAAACGCATCAAGCCGTACATCAACGACCTAGAGCATCGACAAACTCCAATCGATACTTGGAATTGCCAAGACGCTTTCCATAATGCGGCCCAAGCAGAAGTAGCTTGTTGGCAGACGCACGGCCTGAAAAGAGATGTTCGATTCCTAATCCCGCCCGATGGACCGTTAGACGCGTCTCTTTCGTGCCATCTGCACAACCCAAATTTCCATGTTGCCGACCCTTGTTCCTCTCGCGGCGCAGACTGTTCAAATCCGTCCATCCACCAGATAATGGCTGCAGGTTTCTGTCCCGACAAAGTCCTGATTTATGATCATATTGTCCGGCGTGAACCTGTCGATGGCTTCACAGCATACCCACCCGACGTACTAGATATACATGAGAATCTTACGTCTGATTTACGAAGTCATATGGCAGCAGTCGCTGATGTTGTTTGGGGCGCACCTGTACGCGAGAGGATGAAGAAAACCCAGCGGCTTGAGGAGCTTCAGCTTTGGGGGCAGTACCAGGGTGTTTCTATCTTCTTGGAGTGGGAGACGAGCAATAGTAGATTACGACGGTTCGTGGTATTCGTTTGTCATCCTGAGGCTATGATTTATGCTGACCCGACTACGTTGGGTAAAAAGCAAGATCTTCACCTCCAGGTGGCTGCCAAATTAGCCAAAATGTATATCCCCGATAAGTTCTACGAAGAAATCTACCAACGGGGAAGCCATAAGTTCTTATTGGGGGCAGAGCATGCCAGACGGGCTGCGTTAAACGGAGAAGCGATTATCCAACTTGAAAGCATTGCGTACCGGTCCCGATCACCCACCGAAATCGATCGGCAAAGACGTAATCGTATTCCGTATCTTGAACGCAAGAAGCTGCGCCAGTATCCTGGACTGTGTGGGTATTTGGACAAGACAGACGAAGAAGAATTTGTGAGATTGGACGAGGAGATCAAGGCTCTAGAACATGCGAGTCAATAACAGCAGGTAAGAAGCACTTATGGTACTATACTCACATCTAATAAAAACCAAATAGGCTAGCTTGACTCCAGCTTTTTACATACACCCCAGGATCGACTCAGAGTTTATCGGCCCAAGATGGTTGACGGTCCTGGCTTCATCACTAGTTGGTGGTAATTGTGGAAATACTACCGCCGCTGATGCGATGCAACTATGCTATGCTCTTGATGGAGTTCCAATAGCCTCGGTACGTGATCTCTTGAGAGTCCATGGTCTGATTTTTAAGAGACCAGCAATCCGGGAAGAGGATCTGAAGGCTAGCATCATGAAGATCTTTGTCGCGGTGGCAAGCCGCTATTACCATCTGCTCGCGTATGCAGCCCGTGATAGTAGCTTTGACCACTTGATCATCCGAGGAACGGAGCCTCTGGCCCTGAAGTGTTCCAATTGTCAATCGCGCTTACTTGATGACCCATTTCCAAGATTCAAGAAGTCTGACAAGAACCGCTACGTCGCACACCATCTGAAACGGGGATGCGGGTCTGAGGCCTGCCAACAAGTTCAAAAGCCAGGCTTTGCTGTTCCTTGTAATAGTCAGTTTACATGGGCAGCGCCGAAGACTGTAGTGTTGGAACGACCCCCGATGAAAGCGGATTGGACAGACGTGCTACTTCGTCAAGGATCAAGCACAGCACATCTCCCTAGCAATGTACAAATCATTTGCAGGTTATGCAGGGATGAATCCAGTCTTCAACAAGACGATGAGCCACGATGGACGATTGAAGCGACTCCGCGATATGTCACCCGGAAACCGCGCTGTAAAGTATGCTGCAGGAACGATATCACTTGGTGTCCAGTCGACACAAAGCATACCATGGTTAGACCCGGCGAATATGAGCAAGATGTGGAAGAAGAAAGAAAAGAAGAGGTGGGAATTGGATGACATGATAAAGAACCCTAGCAGATATTTCCCCAGAGCTCGGAAAGAACGAGGAGTGACTGGCCGTAAACGTACCAAAAGAAGTGTTAGATATCGGCAGTAGGTGCCAAAAGACATGCTTGGTTTCAGTAAGCCATCAGCCATTGTTTGCAACGTGGCCATGTGCTACTCAGGCATGAGATGACGGCTGATTTGGATTCTAAGCCAAAAGTGCATGTCGTGATAAAGTGGCCGGGGAGTAAATGAGTTCTACGCACTCCCCGCTGAACGTATCGCCACCAACTGCTTGTTGGCTGCTTTTGACATGACATTGCACATGTCCAAATTCTACTGTTATGCACCTCCGGCTCCAGAGGTCCTCGAGCCTGGCATGGGACAGACCCTTCTAGGTTATTGACCAAGTCTGACTCATCGCCAAAGCTGCTTTGGAACTACATCGCACGTAGGCTTTACTCTGTTCATCACGATAACTTGAAGCTTTGTTCTTTTAAACTATTTTCAGTAATGAATAATATGGTATTACAGTAATATATAAATGCTACATGAATATAATATAGCATTCGAAGATGATGCACGTTGTAGTTATCTCATTCCAGCATATACAATCCAGGTATCTGCCGGCCCGAGACCCTTGTCTCACATGATCTTGGAACAGTACTAAGTCATTCCATGGACGTGGAATCGAAATAGTTGGATGACTCGTGAATGATCATGTAAAATACAACAAATTGTCTTGTTATCTAACGTTTGTATTCATGTAAGCCTTGCCGATAATCATAGAACAGTGCGTCAACGAGATTTAAAGCCGCTTAAAATTGCCATGTGCAGCTAGTGATAGAAGTAACGACACGAGAAAGCCATCGAGGAATCAACTCTTTGCATAATGACACAAGTTACAAGGACAATTTAAAACTCTGCACTGAACTACCTCCACGGCAAATAGCAGATAGAGTCCCATCATTAAAACACTATCTTGGAATTATGAGACTGCTCTAAGATGCTTCCCGATGCTTTATTGTTATTGTCACGGAGACTATTGTCAATTCCTTCCCGATAGAAACATGGAATTTCCTTGTATATCCATGTCAATATTATTTGGTGATTCGTTGCGGAGAGTCACCGCTCAGCCACTTCAAATGGCAATGCAACTTGCCCCAGATTATTTGCGCGGTACGACTTCAAATCTATAGGGATACATACGTGTCCTCTTCGGCCTGCATAACTTGCATAGCTTATAGCTGCTCATAGCCTGCTCCGGTCGGCTCAGGATTGCTCACTGAGGCTTAGGGGCTAAGCAGGTTAAAGCGGCCACAGCTCAGGAACTTATTCGAGAGAGGGAGTGGAACCACTTAGTTTTTCCCGCTTAATTAAGGTGTATATCTAAAATAGGAGATAGCCCGGGTGTGGTGTTTTCCTCTATATACTTATACAATAAAATAAGATCTATATTAATTTTTATAACAGCACCTAAACATATTATTAATTAGCGCTTTTTACTAATATACCGGGTAAACTAGCTTACTAATAGCTTTTTATAGCTTAGTTAATAAGGTAATTAGAGCTATAAAAGTAGTGTAATTTTATAGTTTTATAGTTTTTATAGTTTCTAATATAATAAATAATATTAAATCTAATAAAATACTTATAGAATTATAAGTTTTAACTTAAGATTATAAGGCTAATTATAAGGCTTATAAGTGATATTTTCTATGATTTAAAAGAGCTAAATTAGCTCTTTAATATGCTTTACTTTTAACTATTATAAGTTATAATATTTAAAAGTTATAAGCAATTAGAGCATTAACTATAGTATAGTTTTATAGTTTTATAGTTTTTATAGTTTCAAATATAAAACATTATATTAAGTCTAATAAAATACTTATAGAATTATTAGTTTTACAAATAACTAGTATAAATAGCTTATTTTTTAGGCGTTTTTTAAGTAAATTTAATTAACGTGCGTTATTTTTTAGGCTTTTTCTTATCTCTTATAGGTTTTATAATCTTTTTTTAATTTAAGGTAAGTTCTTACCTAATAGTACTAATACTAGCCTAATACTAGGCGTCCCTCTCTCTTATCTCGTTCGCTATTTTTAACCGTATATTAGTCTATTCCACTTTATACGTTTACCTAACTTCGGCCTAGTATCTTATAATATATAATAATATATTATAATATAATATAATATATATTATAGTAAAAAATACAAAAAATACAATATATTTAAAGCTTTAATTATACTCTCTTGAGATTTAAATTAAATATTAATTAATTTTTTAAAAAGTAAGCGTAATTATATAAATGTATATAAAAATGTATAATAGGGTATAGGTAGTTAATTACTAGGCTAAATCGAGCGGTAGTAGC